GTAACCTTTAGAAAATTTTTACATTTTTATAATTTTTTTATTAGCACAATGACTTTCAATGTTTTTTTACGCTGTAGGAAGTGCCTGACCTTAGAGCAGGAGATGAAGTCAGTGGTCTTAGTGGCAACTGTACTAAACCTGCTCCACCAAAGGACCTTCCCCCAATTCTGACATCTACAGGGGTCAAAGGAGGTAAGAATGTGTCCTAATAAGCACACTAGCTCTGACTAATTAGGAATAATTCACCCCAAAATCATTTTCCCAAACATTCATTACTTACTTCTGTGGAACAAAAATATTTTCCATATAATGAATGCATACAGTGATCGCATGCTGCCATGCACCAAAATCCTTTTATGATGGCAACAATATGAGAATAAACAATGACAAAAATGCTATATTTGAGTAAACCATCATTAAAAACAGTCACTATGAAATGTTGTTGATATTTCTAAAGCATTTCATGAGTGATTTTGATATTTCAGAGGCTGGTTCTTGTCTTTATTTCTGCAGACTACACTTTGGAGGAGAAGAGAACCGAGTCGTCGCTCTTAGAGGAGTTGGAGAGAGGTCTTGCTGAGCCTCTGGTGTTTGTGCTCAACGCAAACCTGCTGGCTGTGGTGAAGATTGTCAGCTGTATGTTGCAAATGTTTGTTCTCAACAAAGCTGTTCTGTAGACGGTGTGGTCAGTCATATCCAAACTGTTTGTGTGTGCATCTGTTCTCAGGATGTGTGTGCAATAACAGTTCGGTTTAACTTGAAGAAATTACGACAGAAATGTATTTTATACTAAAATGTAATTCTTAAAATAATAATAATAATAATAATCATAATATATTATTATTTTTAAGTAATATCATGCAACAAAGATATTTTTCATTCATGTTTTAATTTACACAGTTCTGTTGTGCAGCATCTTATTTGACAAAAAATAAAAAGAAGTGCGGAACGAGGAGACATCAATAATGAGATTTTAATGACTTCAAGGGAACCAGGAAAACACACGTAGCTGAGAAGGTTGACACATACAATACCAGACGAAGAACTAAGAACACTTCAAATACACAAGACATGACGAGAAACACCTGGAACTAATGAAACATAATAACATGAGGGAAAACACAGTTGGAAACAAATGGGAAACAATCAGGGAGCAGGAACAGGAAAACCAAATAAGGGCATGGAAACACATGGGGAGCAAAACACGGAACAGAGTCTGACATTACTACCCCCCCTCCCGGAAAGGCGCGTCCCGCACTGTAACAACTCCACCAGGGAGGGTGCCCTGGAGGCTGGTGCAGGACTGGGACACAGGGAATACCTCCAGGGCGGAGCAGGCAGTTCGGGGCGCCATGGTGGAGCAGGCAGACAAGGAAGCCATGGCGGAGCAGGCAGTTCAGGAGGCCATGGCAGAACAGGGAGCTCGGGGAGCCATGGCGGAGCAGAGAGTTCAGGAGGCCATGGCGGAACAGGGAGCTCAGGGCGCCTGGCCCGGCCTCCATGGATGGACCGGACCCCTACTACCCCCCCAAAAAAATCCTTGGGGAGAATATCGTCTTTAGAGTGCCTAACTCGGTAACTGTGGCCCTCCCTGGGCTTGACTTGGGGACTGGAGCCCTCCTTGGGCTAAACTCGGGGACTGGACATGACGAGAAACACCTTGAACTAATGAAACATAATAACATGAGGGAAAACACAGCTGGAAATAAATGGGAAACAATCAGGGAGCAGGAACAGGAAAACCAAATAAGGGCATGGAAACACAAGGGGAGCAAAACACACACAAAACACGGAACAGAGTCTGACGGTGGCGTTTAACTGTGAACAAACAAGTTACATTTACATTCATTCTCAGTGTCAAACAAACATGTTTAAAGTAATTATTTTCTAATTAATGGTAAATGAATATCACAATAAATATAATTTTTGCATGATATGGGAAAAAATGTTGTGATAATATTTTTGGCCATATCGCCCAGACCTAACTTCTGATAACAATAAGCTGGTGTGTTCGTGTGATGACTAAGGTGTTTTTGTGCTCCTGTAGATGTGAACCGGCGGTGTTGGTGTGTTATGTCGAAGGGCATGCATGCTGTTGGACAGCCAGAGGTGGTCATTTTACTGCAGTGTTTGCCTGAGGAGAAGAGATTCCCGACGGATATTTTCAATCATTTCATTCAGATCTACTGGGATGCCCAGACAGGTGAACCTTGCACAGGATGTTACTCAACCATAAAACTAAGACCACTTATCTGCAATGGTTTGATAATTTTTGATCTTGCTATTTCTTCAAGCAGCAGGAAAGCTTCTGAAACACCTGAGTCACTCTTTGGTATCCCGAGGCTTTCTGGGTAATAACGAGCATGCTGGCTTTCTTTATGTGAGTCCGACGTTCCAGTCTCTGGAGGGCCTGCCGTTACCTGCGCCACCCTTCCTGTTCGGGCTCCTCATGCTCCGTGCAGAGGCTCCATGGGCCAAAGTTTCGACTCTCAAAGGATTTCCGTTTTTACCGTTACACACTGCCGACGGTGCCGGGGCTCGTGGTTGATCTAGAGGCTAGAAGCACCTGTATAAGAATCCCTAAAACACGTCATCCGGAGGTACCATTACACCACACTAAAGGCTAAAATACACTATACAACTTTTGCCCAGATTTACAATCTGGACCTGTTTATGCTTGCTGCCAAAAGTCAGAGCCAGTCTGCAGATTTGAGTTGGCAGATTTCATAGAAAATTACGTAGTGTATGATGGTCACAGACTCCAGTCAGAGGAGATCAAACATGTTTGATTTTAGAACACGTTGTTTTCATTTGTCACGTGTTTCTGAGTGAGTTTGTTGTTGAACGACTTAGTTTGTGATACTCAGTTGTTTAGTGTATGATACCCAGTTTCTTCTCTGTAACCGTTTAAGTTGGCAAGTGTATGATGCCTGTTGTTTTAAAATTTGTTCATTTGTTCAGATGTGATAAGCATGAGTTCTGGGCCGCAGCGCAGCCGGTATAAACACCAGCATTGACTGAGTGGCCGCGATCAGCTCCGGTGGCCGTAACACAGGCTTTAATGCACCGCATACGCGTGCCGTGATGCGCAGATCAGCCCTAGTCTCTAACGTCACTGAATCTGCTGTTAAAAATGAGCCATCCATTCATCATATCATCATGCAAAACTAAGAATTAGAATCATTGTAATGTGACGATCAAATATAGGTGCAGGTGGGTGGCGGGTGGATAATTTGAAGCATCGGACTCGGGTGATGTTTGAGCTCATCCACGCATCTCTACACTACACTGACCTGGGTCGCCAGTAGCAAACAATGGAGTGCGCTCTGCTGGACAAACTAAGTAAATATCGGCAAAACGATATATCGGTCGGGCTCTACTTATAATAAGTGGACATGGCAACCCATCAAAAGCTTTGCGAAATAGCCTTCCAAACATAAACAAAACACGACGACTCTGTTGATGGAAGTTTAATTATAAACACCGAACATGACTTTGGTCACTGTGATATTACTTTGGTTGAAAATAGCGGATACCAAACGCCTGCGACGGCCAGAACGTTGCTATGGTTACCATGGTGTCAGTCATTGCAGTTCCGAGAGTGAGTTCTGTTCCGTACACGCATGAAATGATAATTTAATGGATTCACTCCCGTATTTAAATGCGGTTGTCACTCCTGAAACTTGTGTGTACAACAGTGTGTACATGGCCGTAGTGTATTCCAGCCTTAACATAAAAGTGCATTTTTCATAATAGAAAATACATCAGGAGCAACATGGTATTATTTCCAGAGTAGATGGTAAGATATTTTTTGTTGTCTGTGCGTTGAGTATCAGAAGGATTATTATCAAAATGAAGTTCAATAGATAAGCAGACCTGAGGTAAAGAGTAATAATGGAGTAATAATTTCTCAGGATAATGAGGGTCTTTGTCTCTGTCTCTGCTGGTGTTTTAGCTGCTGAAGGCTCTGAATAAGTCTAATGAGAGAGTGCTGGCCCTGGGCGCCTGCTTTAATGAGCAGGCCGACTCTCATCTGATTTGCGTGCAGACGGCAGATGGACAGTACCAGACCCAGGCCATCAGCATTCACAGCCAGCCACGCAGAGGTGAGAGAGCGCGAACATCCCGACACAAATATCTGTTGTGTTCTTTGTTTGTTTTTGAATATTCGTACAGTGGTTGAAAAAAGTATTTGGACACATCTTGCACCTGGAACTGTACGAATGTCATTGGATAATATAATAAAAGTATCAAACCTATGCATTTGTTTAACCCTTGTGCTTTGTTGAAAATCCTTTACCTAATTACCTTCTAAATCTCTCATGCTATATTATCATAAAATATTAGATTCAATCTTTGTCAACTTTTTCTTTCAGTTAGCACAGGTTTTGTATTTCCTTTTGGAACTGATTGATGGTAGGCCTCATTGATCTGCTTTATACAAACAGCATCAAATTTGCCAAAAATGTATATTTTTATTGGAATTTTAATGTTCCACCCTCATGTCCTTTCATAAATCTGTTTGACATTAGATAATCTCAATGCCATTTTAGTAAAAATAATCATGCATTCTTTGTTAATAAGCTTTCGTTCTATTTGCAAGGCTTTTACTATTTTTACAATTTGTTTACAACACATATCCGTGACTGTAATAAAAAAATCTGCTTACCATTTAGCTTTTTTCCCATAAAAACAGTGGCATTTTGTAAACAAATTGGTATTTAAAGGGTTAAAATCCTGACATTTCTTAATATAATATTTTTATGATAATTTTTTGACACAGACATGTTTGTCCTCTAAGGACTTCTGTGTAACTTAATTTAATAATTTATTTTAGTATGACAAATAAAATAGTAAATGATAAACATTTGCGTCTTTCCTTAAACGCTCACTTGAGGGTGCTGTCTGATAGTCTGGGAAAGCATTCAGTCATTTGTTTTATTCATTCTTGACTGGAATCTCTCACTGAATCTAAATCTGTGTTTCTGTTCACCTTTCAGTCACAGGCTCGTGTTTTTTTGTGTTCAGTGGAGCGCTCAAGCCTTCAGCAGGGTACTTGGCCAAGTCCAGCATTGTGGAAGGTTACTGATTTGTTCTTTTCTGTGTTTCGTCAAAGCAGAACATCTCCATTGTTTCATGACTCCTACTTCAACAGTAGTTCAGTGTTAATGTCTATTTGTCTATGAGTTATTGTATAATTTAGGGTACATTTCACATCATGAAAAGTGTATAAACATTATGCTTTCTCAACAAAACAACTACTGATTTCAGTTTCTGTATTATGCATTACATTGCGTTATTATGCATTACCCTGGTGGTGAGTTTGTCAGCTATGTTACGGATAAACTGTGTGGTTTGGCAGGTAACATAGTTGACAGTTTCACCATTTTAACTCATAATTTCTATTGCAGGCCTTGTCTGGCCAACCAAATATTATTTCATTAAGTAAACCCTAAAAATATTGCAAACTGTGTACCCAACATAGTTGATGGCAAATAATAAACTCCTTGACAATCGGTTATTGGAGATCAAATATAGAAAAAATTAAGAGGATATCTACCATAATGTTTTCAAAATGTCTGCCACAGAAGAAAATGACATCACATGATGCTGGTCACATGATTTTATGATAAAACACTTTTTATTTTTCAGGGGTATGTTTGATTAGTAACAGTTGACGGAATATTTGTGGACATGAGCGAAATGAAATATTTTCTTATTTAAATCTACTTTTCTAAGGTATTTAAATTGTAGAAATAAGTTTTAATATAAAGCATTTTAACATTATTTTTTAACTCAAGACTCTTCAATTCAAAAAGCGAACATTGCAAAATGTGTAATTCAAAGGACTTAAAGGCAGTTTCAAACAGGCTGCACAAATATATGAGTGAGATGCATGTATGTATTTATTCCCTTAATGACTAAATAATGATATATCTATAATTATCATGAATAGACATGCAATGTACCATAAATTATAGAATGACCCCTATGTGTTTTTAACTTGAATGTGTATGTCCAGGAGTTTAGCTGTACAGTATACAGTATATGTGCATGTGATAAGATTCCATATATCTGCTCAATGTTACAGATGGTTTGATGGTGCAGGTAACCATGGAGACCATGGCTGAGTTGCGTCGATCTCTACGGGACATGAAAGACTTCACGGTCACCTGTGGAAAACTCCACCCAGCAGAGAGGCAGGAATATGTGCACATTCAATGGCAGGACGAAGAGCCATGCTTTAATAAAGGGTTAGAAATAATACATACATATACTGTATATATACATACATACTTATACATACATATATATATATATATACATAGTTAGTCTAAACCTGTGCTGTTTCCTTTCATTCTATCATACATTTCACAGCATCATAAGCCCCATCGATGGCAAGTCTATGGAGTCTCTCACAAACAGCAAGACCCATCAGCGCTTAGAATACAGAGCCAGTGGGAAGCTTATACGCTGGACAGAGGTAAACAGATTTATGTGTAACTTGTGGAGTGGGAGTGTTTTAGTACTTTTGCTCATTTTTAGAATTAGGGATGAATGCAAACCCTGAATATTAAAGTGATAGTTCACCCAAAAATTTAAATTCTGTCATCATTTACTCACCCTCATATCATTCCAAACCTATATGAGTTTTTTTTCTATTGCTGAACACAAAAGAAGATATTTTGAAAAATGTGGGTAACCAAATAGTTGATGGACCCCATGGGCTTCCATAGTATTTTCCCCCCATGCTATGAAAGGCAATGGCTAACGGCAACTGCAAACAGAATAAAGAAATTCATAAAGGTTTGGAACAACTTGAGGGTGAGTAAATGATGACAGAATTTTCACACAAACCCCCAAATAGTATGGTCCCATCCTAAAATATAAAAAGCAGCTATATGTTTTTTAAATATTACATATGAATAAAAAACTATGAAAATGTGAAAAATGAAAATGTGTAAAATTACTAATTTGTTAAAAAATAGATGAAAAAAATATTGTCTAGTTAATATTTAATAAATATTAACATAAAATATAATTATGTAAATAATATAAAAATACATTTAAAATATTATATATAATATTATTTGTATATTTTTCCCCACACATTTCTCACAACTTTTCCTCCGATCCCCTAGCATTGCCTTGCGGCTTATTTTAGAATCAAATCAGAGTGGTATAGAGGTGAAAATATGGAAAGTATAGAGAGTAAATGTTGATAAATGGCTTTATTTTGATTTATGGTTATGAATTAAGAGCTCGCTGCATCTTAATGGTTTTATCTAAATGTGATAGAATTTCGTTTCCTGAAGAATGCTTTTAAAAACCACTTTCAACAACCAGTTAATTCACATTTGGGCTTTCTTCACAGGTGTTTTATTTTCTTAAAGACCAGCATCCAAATGGTCTTAACCACACCAGTCATAACCGTCTAACCGAGCGTCTTGCGCGGGCGTTCTGCCTGGCACTGTGTCAGTCTCTGTGTTTGCTGAAGGAGGATGGCATGACCAAACTGGCACTGAGGGTCATCCTGGACGGGCAGAAGGTGAGATAGTGATCATTTCATGGGGTTTTATAATGGGTTTTTTTCAATTTATGAGTAAAATAAAGCCTGTGGTAAACAACATGAGGATACTTTTACGTTTTGTTCTACAATGTAAACTGCACAATGTCGCAGCGAAGATGTTGAATTAAACGTAAACACAGCATATACTGGCCCTGATAATCATAACTTCTACTTACCACTTGCTCCATTTCTGCAAATCAGTTTTTTTGAGTGAATGACTTGCTCTACCTGTTGCTTTGGTCTTCATTAACACCCGCTTGTGCCACCTGCTGGTGATCGATCATGCATCAGTACTCTACACTACGCTATTCCTGCAGTTCCCGGATGTGCAATGCTGAAATTTTCTGCCGAATTTGTGGAAGGGAATTTGTAAAATGAAAAAAAATGGACTGAAAATTGCCTGTCAGATATTATACATCGTATTTTTAAACAGATTGAATATTTCAGAAGTGAACTCTGGCAGGTGAATATGGATTATTGAATTTTTCATTTTGAAAATGTGTGTGAAATGTTTTGAATTGAAATATTCAAAGCTTAAATTAACAACTACGTTGAATTTCAGGCCTGGCATTGAAATGCAAGCACTGTTAATACAATGCATTATTTTTTCAGTTGGTGCAGCACAAACCCCCAAATAGTATGGTCCCATCCTAAAATATAAAAAGCAGCTATATGTTTTTTAAATATTACATATGAATAAAAAACTATGAAAATGTGAAAAATGAAAATGTGTAAAATTACTAATTTGTTAAAAAATAGATGAAAAAAATATTGTCTAGTTAATATTTAATAAATATTAACATAAAATATAATTATGTAAATAATATAAAAATACATTTAAAATATTATATATAATATTATTTGTATATTTTTCCCCACACATTTCTCACAACTTTTCCTCCGATCCCCTAGCATTGCCTTGCGGCTTATTTTAGAATCAAATCAGAGTGGTATAGAGGTGAAAATATGGAAAGTATAGAGAGTAAATGTTGATAAATGGCTTTATTTTGATTTATGGTTATGAATTAAGAGCTCGCTGCATCTTAATGGTTTTATCTAAATGTGATAGAATTTCGTTTCCTGAAGAATGCTTTTAAAAACCACTTTCAACAACCAGTTAATTCACATTTGGGCTTTCTTCACAGGTGTTTTATTTTCTTAAAGACCAGCATCCAAATGGTCTTAACCACACCAGTCATAACCGTCTAACCGAGCGTCTTGCGCGGGCGTTCTGCCTGGCACTGTGTCAGTCTCTGTGTTTGCTGAAGGAGGATGGCATGACCAAACTGGCACTGAGGGTCACCCTGGACGGCCAGAAGGTGAGACAGTGATCATTTTGTCCACAGCTGTTGTGCCACAGATTATTTTTCCCCCATTGTAATGAGTTATTTGACACAGAAGTAATTAACCAATGATGACCATAATAATAATCATAATTTTTTAACTAAAATATATTGGTACAATTTTAAAAGTACTCATATACATTAATTTTACTCAAGTACTCATTTGTGCACATGAGCAAAACCTTTGAGTTCAGTAGCATTTGAGAGTTGAATGTAGTAGACGTCCCCATCGGGCAGCTTATTTTAGTAGTTTAGTCGATTCCCTACTGCTCACTGTGACAGGGTCTGGGGTTACAGCATCAAATGACTTTAAAAACTACTAACATTTCTCAGTCAGCACTAGAGGCCGACCGATATACGATATTTGCTGATCAGTTGACACCAGTAACAGCTTTCGTAACTATTGAATAATGGCAAAAATTAACATTTATGGAAGCCCATTTCTGAGTTTGGAAAGGACTTGACATGTGGCCAAGTATGGTGTCCCATACTTGGAGTTTATGCTCTGCATTTATCCCATCCAAGTGCACACACACCCGGTGCAGTGTTTTTTTTTATATATACATTTTGCGGCTCCCGGGGAGCAGTTGGGGGTTCGGTGCCTTGCTCAAGGGCCTCACTTTTAAAGTGAATTGATGCGTTTGTGTATTGGGGGTGGAAGAGAGCACTGGTCATTCACTCCCCCCACCTACAATCCCTGCCGGTACCGAGACTCAAACCCATGACTCTTGGGTTAGTCAAGACTCTCTAACCACTAGGCCACGTTTATGGTATTACTTGTAATTGCAACTTTATATCTCATAACTGAGATTTTCAGTATATGCAATATTTCTCATGACCATTTATCATAATTGTGACTGCAGTTCATATCTTATAATTTTATACTTTTTATTACTCATAATTGCAACTTTATTTCCACCATTTCAACGTTACTTTATTTCTTGTAATAGATATTTCTCTTAATTTATATCTCACAGTTACGACTTACTTGTAATGGTAAATACATATCCCAATGTGATTTTCCTCTGAACTATTTTTTTATTTTTAACTCTGAGGTAGAAACAAGCTTCCAGTTGTTCTAGAGATCGACCAAAGCCTCTAGCTGTGAAAGCCTGCTTGGTTTGTTGTGCAGCAACTACACTCAAAACAGAGCCTGCCTCAGGATATGATATGGGTTTGAAATTAACTCTTACATTAACTTAACCTTCTGAAATGCAGTACTGACTTTGACGAGTCAGTAATTATACTAGTTAAAGTTACACATTCACAAGATTTAAAGGGGATAGTTCACCCAAAAATGAAAATTACCCCATAATTTACTCCTATCCTAGGTGTATATGACTGTATTTCAGATGAATATTATATTTAAAAATGTCCTCGCTCTTCCAAGTGATGAACGCGGATGCGCAGAGAGAGCAAAACAAAACACCGCTCACGAATTAGAAGTACAAAACGAGGATTTGTAAAGAAAAATATCGGAGGATTTCAAAATAAGCCAAGAGGAGACTTAACATATTCTCACCGGAGCTTATGCTATGCCTCCGTCATCCACTGGAATTAATTAAATATTGCAGTTTAAATGGGTCCTGGAATGCCACTCTCTCATGAACACGCACGCGTACGACAGTTAGCGGAAGCTAGAGATTATGGTTTATAAAGTTGTAAATATGGATGTTTTTCTTACGCAAGCGCATTGCCTCACTTCAGAAGGCCTTTATTGAACCCCAGAGCCGAGTGGAGCACTTTTATGATGGATGGATGCACTTGGTTTGGGCTTCAAAATCTCAACCCCCATTCTCTGCCATTCTAAAGCGTGAAAAAGCCAGGAGATTTTTTAATATTACTCCGATTGTATTCGTCTGAAAGAAGAAAGTCACACACACCTAGGATGGCATGAGGCTGAGTACATCATGGGCTACTTTTCATTCTTGGGTGAACTATCTCTTTAAATTAGCTTAAATGTTAATGTTTTCAATATTTTGATTTCTTAGGTACTGGTACCAGCAAAACCCATTATCGGTCGACCTCTAGTCATCGCCAGCGGTTCATCTGTGACAAATTGAAGTAGCTGTATGTAGTTTGTACTGTAGTCTGGACTCCCTCTGTAGACCTTGACAGGATTTGAAACTTAAGGCCTGAAACATGCTGACCAGTACTGATGAATGAGGACCAAAGTGAGCGAATGGGATTTATTAGCATGACGTGATTTTGGAGACTCCGTTTCTTCTAGTCTTCCACATGTAGAACTCATTGTAGCCATGGCGATCGCTGTTGTACTTCCTGATAGAGGCATGAGGATGACTTCCTCATGAGTCACTGTACAAATCCCATGCAACGCCCTATTCTCCCAGCTTGCCGAGAGGAGCGCCCTGACCTCTGCTCTACATTTACGCACACCTGCCTGGAAAAAAAAGCGCTAGGAATTCAGCCAAACAAAGGCGATGCTTGGATAAATAGGAGCGCAAATTATACGCACAAACTCTTGTGCACTGTGAGCTCAAAGTCATTTGTTCCTCCGCGACCTTGTTGAACTTTCTTCTGGCCTTCTTTTCTCCCTCACACACACGGCGTAGTATGCTTGCTCATCTGGTCTTCCTCGTTTGCTTTTCAGGAACTGAAAGGACTTTTTGTTTACATTCACCATGCTGTGCATACTCTAGATGACAAATGCAAAACTGTACTCTTGCATTCTTTTAGATTAAAAACATATTTTAATATGTCAAGCATTTGCATTAGAGATACCAAATAACATTGGAATGTCAGCTGGAATTGTAGGTCAAATGACTTGCACTGATTTTATTCAATAAGGAACTACAATGTGCCATCAAACCGCATAACTTATGTGAAATAAACAGAGAACTGTGTATTTTAAAATTGAATTTATTTTTTTGTATTTAATTCAAGAGTAACAATTTTTTTACCGTATCAATCGCGTTAGTTTATAATGTCCAACTATTTACAGGTGTAATTCAAGTTTACTGATGTTGACTTTACAGAGTCTGCTTTGGGGGGGGATGTATGAAACACACAGGTGTGTGTGTGCCCATTTGTGAATTCATTCTGTTGAGATGAATGTCATGAGCAACATCAGCGGAGGATGGATCCAGTTAGTACTCTTCCTCTTCTCTTCATACATTGTGCTCAACAAGTATTCTTTAGATTAATTTGACAAAAAAAAAAAAAATACAAACGGGGTCAAATACATTCATATCCCCATGTACTTACGCAATGTACATATATATAAAAAAAAAAAAAAATTGTTGAAAACGAAAAGTCCCAAAACATTCTTTGGACTCCATAGTGCTTCGTGAAGGTTCTCCTGGTCATCTGTTTTGGGTCTTCTCTTCCTGAGCTCTCAGGATTTCTTCATCTTGCCGTTGAGAGTGCTTCCGTTCTCGTGGTGTTTCTTCCCATTGCTCAGGCCATTTTCATGCACTCCGTGGCCGTTTGAAACCGACGAGCCGTTGGCGACTGCGCTGGATCCGTTGGCCGTGCCGTTCTGGGTGCGCTGTTCGGTGTTCTTCGGTAGCCTCTTGCCCTTCACATACGCCTGGTACCAGAAGTTAGAGAACAGCACGAAGAAGAAGGTCCCATACATCCAGATGAGGTGGATGAACAGAGGCACCTGGTAGTCGCAGCTCTCCATGAAGTACCACTGGGTTACGTGAAGAGACACTAACACAAACTGAATCTGTAGAAAAGAGTAAGAAAGTCAGAGTGTCTGGAATACACAGCTCTTTAATTATTACTAAATATAAATAAATATATATACACATACACACACACAAATCCCCACCCACCCGCACACTATTCAATTAAATTCATAATTATATATATATATACACCAATTTAATTCTATTTAATAATCATATATATATAATATTTACATATAAATTAATTGTGTAGTAAAATACATATGTATTATATGAATAAATTATTAATAAAGACCAACATTTAAGACCAATCTTTAAGTTTTTGGGGTTTATAGCTCACTTGAGTGTTTTATTGTTTATGAATAACGACTTAAATTTCAATTTGTTTCTCAACTTCAGAAGCCTTGAAATATAGTTCACTGGTTGAATAAATGAATGGACCAAAACTGAAAAAAACCACCAAAAAAAATTATATATATATCAATAAATATAGAAATATGGAGCCCGACAGCAATGGTCACTTAAAAGAGTCACTGTATTCTGAAGATTGTTCATTTGGGTGTTTTGCATAACAGAAAATGGATTTCTAACAACATGAGGGTGAGTCAATATCATATTTTTGGTTGAACAATCCCTTTAACATTTTCATAGGTGAGATTTACACTGCTCTACAAATCAAATGAACATACCAGCTGAATTGCAGTCATATATTTCTTCCACCAGAGGAACTTCTGGAAGCGAGGTCCTGCAGCAGAAAGGCCGTAGTAGAAGTACATGATCACATGGACACAGGAGTTGATCATGGCATGGAAGGAGCCCATTCCACCTGCAAGAAACATTGCAGTGAGGCCTCAAAGTCAGATGTGATGATAAACTATATCATATCAAGATAGCTATAAAGTTTGTCATTAATGATGATAAGCTCTGGACATTTGTACTCTATATAGATTAATCTAACAGCAGAAATAAATGCAACAGTCGATGCATGTCACTAATAAGTCTGCATGTCTCTGGGTGAATGAGTGGCGTAGTTTCATCTACTACACAAACTACTGTTTTCAGCATCTGCATCTCGATATATGAGACATGAACACGTTAACTTCATCTCCAGAGCTGCTCCGAGAGTCACTTCACCAGCTTTACACCGTTTCATTTGAGAAAAACTACCATCAAACACACTGAATCTCAAACTGACAAAATGAAAGTTCGGCTTAAAGAAGTTATGACAAGACATATATATTACTATTTTAAACTAAAATGTAATTCTTACAGTAATATTATTGTTAATATCATACAACCAATATATTTTTTTCATTCATGCTAAATGCATACAGTTCCGTTGTGCAGCATCTTATTTGACAAAAATAAAAATGCTGTTTTTTTTCCGGAAATTATTAAATATTTCATTTGATATTTATATTTTCATTTGATAATTTTATTTTTTTTTAAACGCTTAAGTTTTTCGAACTTTGATCAATTTCATCAGACATCAGTTTTATGCAAAATTTGTATTAAATCATAAAACAGAATCTTAAAAAATATACCAAATTAAAAGGCATCTTACTCTGTTGAGTTTAATTGTGAACAAATAAGTTACCTTTACATTCTCAAGTTCTAACAAACATGTGGAAACCACTACCTTCCCCAATAATGGAAAATTAATTTGAAATATTTTTATAAATATAAAAACTATTAATAAATAATAAAAAATGTTAAATAACATTATAAATATTTATACTGTATATGGGAAAAAAATGTCATGATCATAATGTTTTTGGACATATTGCCCAGCTCTATGCTGTAGGCAGTTTAACAACAACACCGAGAGCTTTATATACAAGAAGCATCAGCACATGCAAAATCTCTTGGCTTGTGGAACAGCAAAACCATATCTGACCAGGACAGAAATTTGTCAGGGTCCATTAACCGGCTCACGTCACTGAAAGCACACGTGCCGATCATGGAAACACCTGCTGACTGACCGGGACCCACTCACCTGGTGCGTAGCTCACGCCCCACCACCACGTCCAGGGCATGAAGGAATGGTGGAAGATGTGCAGGAAGGTGATCTGACCGTGTTTCTTACGCAGCACAAAGAACACCTGAACAAGACCACAGCAGTTCATCACTTCATGAACCAATCTGCTTTCAAATCAGCCGTTTATCAAATCTTACCGTATCCATAAGCTCAATGAACTTTGAAAACAGGAATAACCAGGCAACTCTTGTCATCTGGAAACGTAAAAAGACACAGAATTGGATTCTTAATGTGATTATTTGTGCACAGTAATCTTTGAGTGTATTCGAGGAAATGGAAAGCAAATCTTACTCGGAGTCCTTGAGGGCTGTTTGAATAATCACATGGGTCACATCTCCACGTGTATCCCGTCGCCCACCCCGACATGAAGAACTACACGTCAAGTAAAGACCATTAGTATATGAAGTTATCTTCAGGAACTGCTTTTGAGGAGCAACTCAAAACCAGAATGGTGTCTCAATAATGCTAAATATATATATATATATATATATAACACACCTCCCTCTGAGTCAACGCAGGCAAACAAACACGTGCATTCAAGTTCAAACACATCCCAGATCACGCCACCTAACAGAACCAACATCTCCTGACGCTCACCTCATATACGATATATGCAGACAGGCCAACCAAGGACAGGTTGTAGATGATCATCGCTTCTTTCAGCTGGAAGGGTTTGCGGTTGGCCATAAACTTAGGGCCAGCGTACAGTGCGAAGAAAAGATAAGCAAGTAGAATAGCAGACATACTGACTGGACTCCCCATTAGAAGGTAATCCTTCAAACGAGGGTCTAGAAAGAGAGAGAAACACAAAAACCCAGCTCTTTTTTTAACACATATAGAGATTTCACTAAATAAATCTAATACACTTAAGCCATATATTATAATTGACAACAGGTTCGGCAAAAACAGATTTGACTACGTTATGAATTAATGATGGAGAAATATATCGACCAGGTCAATTAATCGGCCAACATTTTGAGGTTATATTTAGCAGCTGCATTTTTAGCTTCCTTGCATCAGTTAAAATACTAACACCTCTAGCTACAGAAGCAAGTTGCATTGCGTTCTGAAATGTGTCAAACCACAACTCATAAGACTTCAATAACTTTGTTGCTTCTACTACAGCCAGTTTGCACTTTCATGACAGCTAATATTATGGCCGAGAAACGGTTCTTGCTGAACATGCAGATATTTTCATAGTTAGCTAGTTTTTAGCTACATTTATCAAACTGTATTGTGCATACCAGAGATGGAAACTCATCAGGAATAAAAAATTAAAACGTTTTAAAATCCAGATTGGTTTTATCTTAGAGTCTAGAGTGAGTTTTTCCCTATTTCTTTATGTAGTTAATAATAAAATAAACAATTTTTACTTCAGTTGTCTCAGACCACATTGTCACTTGTTCTAATAATAATGTTAAAATAACACAATTATTAAATTATAAAAATGCAACAAATATTACACTTGTACTTTCATAATACAATTGTACAAAAACAACAACAAGTATTTAATAAAATATTCTTAAACGTCTTACTTTCTCTGCTTTCAATTATTAAATCATACAGCTTTAATTTTTGGTGGAAAATGACAGGGAGATTTTTTTGACAAACAAACTGGCCCATTTTAAAATTAAAAGCGATTTTGGCAATTAGGTGTCAAGTGTGCCTTCCTGTTATAACTAATACAAGAAGAAATAGGGAAAAACTCACTCTAGACTCTATGTAGTTAATAATAAAATAAACAATTTTTACTTCAGTTGTCTCAGACCACATTGTCACTTGTTCTAATAATAATGTTAAAATAACACAATTATTAAATTATAAAAATGCAACAAATATTACACTTGTACTTTCAAAATACAATTGTACAAAAACAACAACAAGTATTTAATAAAATATTCTTAAACGTCTTACTTTCTCTGCTTTCAATTATTAAATCATACAGCTTTTATTTTTGGTGGAAAATGACAGGGAGATTTTTTTGACAAACAAACTGGCCCATTTTAAAATTAAAACAGCGATTTTGGCAATTAGGTGTCAAGTGTGCCTTCCTGTTATAACTAATACAAGGCTATCAGCCGTTAGGAAAAATAAGTCAAATCAGTTGCCCACTAGACTGCATATTATACATTTATTTCAGGACCGATACCAGAATCGTTTTTCAGCACTAATATATATATATATTTTTATTTTTTTTATATAAACTACATATGAAAAATAATATTATAACAATAGCTAAATAAAACTTCAAAGACAAACACTCAAAGCTAAGACTAAACGCTACTTTAGGGGTCAAATTTAATACACAGACCCATTCAGTAGTTATGTAGAACACAATTTTCATAACCGTATATTTAGATAAGATTAGCCGTAAATTACTCATTTACAACCTAGAGATACAATGATGTGCCCGTATCAGCTGGGAAATATATGAGCCACTGACGCCATTGTCCTTCTGATAACATACATACACAGACTGACTGTCTCTCCAAATTGGTCCAAATAATGACTTCAATCTAAAGGTGAGACCTCATCTAACAGTAAGAGGGGGCAATAAATAAAAGGTCAATAAATCCTTTACCTTCCAAGGACTCACATGAACAAACAGCTCTGTCTCGCTGCTGCACAACATCTGCTCTAAAGCAGAGGTGGAAACTTCTTAAATAGCACCCAACAACGCTTCAGAGTGAAAACTGACATACCCAGACATGTTCTATCACATATTCTCTGTAGATCCCTTGACTGGGGCACACAGATGTCTTTTGAGATGGTAGTGATAGAGCGTTTCTACAGATGCTGATTGGAGTAATGGACAATGTTTCGTCACACACAGACGTTCACAGAAAATGTGCTACGACCTTCAGGTTAAACCACTTTCTGGTCACTATCGCTTCTAGGAGTGGGTGTGACTAAAAAGATGATAACATTCCTTTGCTTTGTGAGTAAAATCGAAGAATTTAAACTACTGCATCATATTGACCTGCGATGTTTGAAGACCTGAGATAAGATTAGTGCAACACTGAGTTTGGAAAAGGAAACGCAGATTGAATGTACGTACACACAAATGCATGTGAACTGACCGACCTTTATTGAAATATTCCTTCCTTTCAGACTTTGCTGTAAAGTTCACACACACAAAAAAGTTCTCATAAGCATCTGAAATCAGCGATTTCAACGAGTTTCTTATCTCAGAGTGTGCGTTTGTCACCGGAACAAGCCTTCATTCAGCCCAGTGTGACAGATTTCGAACATTCAGTCCATCAAATGAACTTCTGCAATCTCGTTCTGAGGAAGATCAGTTAAAGATCAGATGCCCCAGGAGGAACGGAATATGGTCCAAACTGGTTTTTGTACTCAGAACGTGGTAACATCATCCTTGTGCAAAACACATGAAGCGCCTAGGGCTGGGTATTGAGACAAATTTCAATTCACAAGCTTGTGATTCAATTCAATTTTGAATTTTATCCTGTTTCTTTCAACATATCTTCTGATGTTCATTCGTGTTTATTTTGTGCTGTAACTGGTAGTAAATATGAAGAGATGATCGTTCACATGCCGCTTGAACTGAGGTGCTACAGCGATCTGTCACGCCATATTAAAGAGTGCCAAAATGGTGTTTATTCTTTGAATTTCGTCATAAAACTGGATTTTTTGGATAATCGGATTATAATCAATTAATAATTGGATTTATTGGATGGGAGGCGTGCTATAAATTACGTTTTATTAAGTTGTGCTATGCTTTTGGGGTTGTTTTCTTATCGTTTTCATATTTGCTGAAGGTAATGACTAAAATGTAGTCTGACCAATAATGTGCAGGCATTGGACACAATCGACCAATCGTGGCGTGTGAGAAGGCGGGATCTATAGGAAATGGTCAAAGCAATGCAAATACATGTACATATAAAGAATGACTGTAGAGAGCATGCCAGTAGGAAAACAAAGTCAAACGCGGACAATTTAGAAATCAAATGGCAACCCTGCTTGAACGTTTAGACCCCTCAGCATAGGAAAGAAAAAAAAACTGAACACAAGCAGTGTCTGATCCCGGTTGCCAGTGTGGGGGAAATCAAATTGTGTGAGATAGGAGAGGCATCTGTAAGACGTCTCAGGATTGTCAGTGGCTGTATTGTGAGGTTTTGGCATGGCTGATGGAACGCATGCCTCAGCAACTAAATACTCTAACAGTGGAAACTCATGGAAGCCACATCTAGACACACAAAAGAGCTTTTCCTGGGCTGGGTCTAATTGCCGTTTATGTCCCGGTGGATTGTTTTTGGATTTCCTTATGGATGATGCACCTGATGAAACTTGACGCAAATATTTTCTTGGGAAGGGTGCATACTTCATAATGACAATACTATGAGTGGCCACAATGTTAGTAAACTTCAAGGTTAAACCTCTCATTTACACAAGAAACAGGCGGTGAGTTTAAGAGGTCTGTTTTGAACACAAACACACAATTCTACGAAAGGTGTGAATGTGTCTTCAGGTGAAACTACAAGTTCTAAGACTATAGAATACCCAAGACGTGTCACTCGTATAGTTTTGAATTGGGTAAAATGCAACACTCAATATGGCCGCTCTATCAAAGGAAGCCCCGCCTTCGGAATAAAAGAGCCAATCGCTAATCGGTAAAGTCATCGCGTCACTGCAGCTACCGTTAAAAGTCCTGGTTGCTATAGAAACAGTCAGCGTTAGGAGACATGCACTTCTGACTGCGCATTGGCTGGTCTAGCCTGAAAAATAAGCGTTTTTTTAATGCTATTTGAGCAAAAGAAAACAATTATGAGACAGTTGTTGTCAGATTTCATTGGTGATTTTAAATATGAAATTTAATCGTAAGCTTGGCAAACCATTTTGGAGAATTTGATGTTTCCCCATTTAAAGAGATAGGGGCTGCACTTGCATGACGAGAGGCGTTTCAAAGATGGCCACCGAGTGAAATGACTTATTAAAAGGACTTTGGTATTACTGGAGTAAAAACATCTACAGCAATACCCAGTAAACATGACAAAGTGATTATTTGGCAAATGGATGTAAATGTTTTAATAAGGTATAAAAACATTATTTTTAATGATTCCAAATATAAATGTATAGGTTAGGTAAGTTATATACATTATATACAGTATATAAAACCATGTCCAGTTGATAATTTACTCCAAAAAATGCATAAAATTAAATAAATAAAAAATGTAATGAATAATGATGAAATAAATGAATAAATAATGTTTATTTGTTTATTTATTTCATATAAATACATTTCCTTTAAGAAAATTAACTCTATTCTTATCTTTTTATTTTTCGATTAGCACTGTCATGACAAATTAAAAATCAAAGTCACATTTCCTTGTCACATTTTCATTAATTTTAATAAGTTTCTACATTTTTCTGTAATTCACATTACTAATCAGCAGTGTTGGGGAAAGTTACTTTTAAAAGTAATGCATTACAATATTGCGTTACTCCATTAAAAAGTAACTAATTCCGTTACTTTTTATGGAAAGTAATGCGTTACGTTACTTTTGCGTTACTTTTAAAATCTGGACAGGGCTTGCTTGTTTGTTTTTAAAATAAAAAAGTTCTATTTTTGGCAAATATAAAAGCCTTTTCACAGCAAAAGTGAAATGAATAAGCCTCAGGCTGAAGGGAAAGTAGCTTTACGTCCGTACAGTAGAACGCAGAAGAAGACATTTCAACACACTTCAGCAATAAACAAAGACACACAGATGTTTGTCTAGAGTAACTTGTGCTTATTAGTACGGTTGAACTGGATCATCGAAGGCCAGAAGCAAAGACATTGGTTAATAGAATGGGATTAAATACATAAAGCATATTTGTGTTGTTTAACATTTAATTATTGCAGGTTTGCGTCATATTCTGAGTTGCATTATTTTTATTAATTTTGAGGAATACTGAATCTGTGTGTTTTTTTTTGTGAGTGAGATGAATTAATGCATATTCATATTTATTTTAGAACTACTGTAACATCTGATTTCTCTCAACATGGGCACAGGAGAGCTGTCAGTCAATAAATTGGAAAAAAAAGCAACTTGCGTTATT